AGTAAGTATATATATATATATATATATATATACTAGAGGCCCTTTGCAGGAAGATTCCTGCAAGAATAGGGCTTCCTTGGGCCTATTCCTGCAAGAATAGGGCTTCCTGTGGCCGGAGCGAAGCTCCCTTCTCCGCTGCCTCGCTCCCTCCCATGTCCGCTGCCTCGGCTTCCTCCCTTCTCCACCGCTTTGCTCCCTCATGCTGTGCTTGGCTTCCTTCGATGCCAGTGGTTCTTAACCTTCTGGCCCTTTAAATACAGTTCCTCATGTTGTGACCCAACCATAAAATTATTTTCGTTGCTACTTCATAACTGTAATGTTGCTACTGTTATGAATCGTAATGTAAATATCTGATATGCAGGATGGTCTTAGGCAACCCCTGTGAAAGGGTCGTTCGACCATCAAAGGGGTCGCGACCCACAGGTTGAGAACCACTGTTCTATGCTGTCTTCACTCCACGCCTGCATATGCAAATTAATCGCCATCTTTGTTGGGTTAATTTGCATACTCATCCTGATTGGCTGGTGGGCGTAGCAGAGTGACACCAATTTGCATGTTTCTTTTATTAGTGTAGATATATATGTATATGTGTATATATATATATATATATATAGAGAGAGAGAGAGAGAGAGAGAGAGAGAACACAAAACCTCTGAGCAAAACATTCAAGCACTTTCTGTCTCCTGACAGCCAAGGAGTATTTAGGAAATGACACTCAGGAGTTTTAGGGAGTGTAGGGTAGGTGAAAGGAGATAGAACAGTGGAGTAAAGCCACTCACCTGGGGGAAGCTGCATAGCAGGTGAGGAGGAGGGTGAAAGAGAGGACACTCCCAACAGAGAAGGCTCTGTGGCACTCCCCTGGATTTCTCACAGCTTCATTCCCCAAGTTTTGAAGGCTAGAGTTTGCCTTCAGGCTTCCATTTCTTTAACAAATGTTTAATATTTGTTGTTCCATCCCGGGTCAAAGGGTGTCCCCAGTCCCTAGGCAAAGTAAGGCTACCTCAAAGCTAGGTCTCCTAGTCCTTCTATACCCAGTTCTCTCAACAGATATGCCAATAACAGAAGGGACAGAGGTGAGGGGAGGGGCTGGCGAGAGGAGCTGGGATCTATCTTTCTCACACTCTCCACTTCGGCAAAATACATTTTTAATTCACTCTATGTGGAAGAATTTGCATATAATTTTGCTAATTTATCACAGCTAGAAATGTTAGTAAGGGAGATCTGAGTAGGAAGTCACTCCTCAGGTTCAAGTCAAATAATGAGTTAGCAAAGAATGGCTTACAGCTTACTACCCAATTTGATTAACACGATTAGCATGAATGTTAAAGGTGATGAAACCCCCCAGTGTGGAGGGCGCCAGGTCCTGAGTACATCCCACTGACAGTGTTCTAGGATAAGGAAACACATCCGAAATGACACGTTGATAGGTCTTGAATGCGGTAGGTCCTGTAATGGATTAGTTACTCAGTCCTGAATTGGCCTACGCTTAGTTCAAAGTTGGGGTTCAGCAAATTGTTTTAGAACAAATAACGGCTTCTGGCATCCACATTACCTTTCTCAAAGGAAAACCAATACAGGAAATACAAACAGAAAATTTAAGGTGTAACTAATTACAAAATCCTTCCATTGGCTAAATAATTCATTGCAGTTTTCCTTAAGTTTGCTGCTAACGCTTATATAAAAATTCAACTCAGGTGAGAAAGAAGAGCTCGGCGAGCATGTCTGCAGTAGCCCACACACTGCCACCATCACAACACTGGCACCAGACGCAGTCCTGGGCCCACCCACCTTTTTACCTGCTCTCTCTGCCTTTGCCCGCCTCTTTCCCATCCCAAAAGGGCTTTGTGCATGCCATTTTAGTGGACTCAGTATTTCCTAACTAGATCGTATACTTTTATGCATGGAGTCTAGCATCTGTTTTATTAGGATGTGATACTAATTTGTTCACTAACAACCGAGAGCTATGAAATCACACATCAGCAGGGATCTGACCTCCCCAGCCCCAGCGCCAGCACAACAGGCTCCAAACTGCAATGATTGCAGAACCCACGAGATAAACAGGGTGACAGTGGGGAAGTTCTTACTCAAATCTAAATACAGCCGCTGCTTGCTGGTCCAGGCTGAGATCACTCAGGTAGATTGTGCCGAAACATTTCTCTGATGCTGTTTCTAAAAGAGCAGGTCCTAGCTTGCTCCTGCGGGAGTCAGCCAACAGGTGAGGGAGGAGAGAGGCAAGATCCGCACTGTGGTATAAAACCAGGCTCATTTAGGTTTTGTATTTCAGAAGTACCAGTATTTTCTGCAAATTAGAAGAAACTGTCTTTTTTTCATAGACTGGCAAACAGGTTTTAAGAAGTTGAGTTACTTACCCAATTTCCCACCAACCTCTTGACCAAGTTGGGAAGGAACATCCGTTGAGAATTTCAAATGTACAGGCTATCCGCAAGTATTTTCCACAGCACATGTAAGTAATGCTAACTCCAGTTCATTGTAAAACTCTACCGTTTGCCAGCGGCTTCCACTGGTTCTCTGGGAGCATCATAAATCTAATTATAAAAACTGAAAGAGGCCCTTTTATAAAAACGGCGTTTATCTGTAAAAGGGGGTAACTAACAATAGTGCTTACTTACTGGGTTGAGGATGACATGAGCTGATTTATTTAAAGTGCTTGGAATAGGGCCAGGCACACAGGACCTCATGCAGCAATAATTAATATCTATTAAAATTAACAGAAGGGAAGGAAGGGTGCTGTAACATTTAAGAACCTCTTCATTGGCTAAATCTTTTCCAGGGTACCTGCTTTCCCTATTTAAACTGAAGGATGCCAAGGAAAGCACTGAAGAATACAAATACATTTTTACCAAGTGAAATAATTAAAGACAAAAATAGGGTTCATATGTTAACAATTTAAGAAATATCATGTCTATGAAATGCAACTTTCAAGCGTATATATTTCAATCTTCCACTTAGATCCGGAAAACCAAGTGGCCTATAAGAGACACTTGGGAAAAATGAACACTGCAGATTTCTAGTGAAAATTAAGCTTCCACATCCTTCAAAGTAAAGGGTCATACTGTCTGCTCTTTGCTGAGCAAGTACTTCTTTCTCAGGCTACCCTGAAATTCCTAAAATCATCCAGGAATTCTTTTTGCAGCCCATTAAAATAATAAAAATTACAGCCTACAGTATCTATTTATTTAGTTGCATCTAATAATCTTGAGATGTTTTACCCTTGCCTTGGAATTCTCAACTCCAAGAACTTTCCTTCAACACCTCCCTACCCTGGTCTTCCTGGCCGGCCCCTTCATCTCACCTGCTTCCTAAACCCCCACCTGCTTTCTCCTCCTGCACACAATTCAGTATATTTGTGTGACTCTCATTTTTATTGGTTAAAAAAAAGTTAAAGTTAATAAAATAAAAGGCAGAAAATATATGTTAAATATATATAAATATATTAAATATATATTAAACATATATATTAAATATGTGGATGGAGAGGAAAAAAATATTTTGTAAAGAGTATTCCCTTTAGGTTTCATACATTCCCACTCCCTTCTGGAACTCAGTTCATTTACAAGATAGGACAAGCAGAGATAATTTGGGCATGTGCCCTCTGTGAAGAAAAGTGACTTTAAAAATCTTTGGTGCTTTAATAGATTGGACCATAGCCTGGGACTCTGAACTCTGGGGGGCCATGATAAAACTCAGACACTAGACCTCAGGCTCTGAATTTTCTTTGTGGGTAGTGTGTGTGCTTTTTTAAACAATTCAGAATTCTTAAGAGACCAAAACCGAACATTCTTACTGTACTTTCTCAATTTGAAGACTCTCAGGGCCATGCTTCATATCTAATGTATGAAGGCCCACCCTCTCTCCTCCAGAGTCAAAATCAGGGCAAAAGGTCATCAGCTTGCATGTATTATCCAGTAACAATCTATCAATCAAGTGGAAAAGAGCACCGAGCCTGCACGCCCTGCCACACCCCCACAGCCACTCTGACAGGTCTGTCAGAAGCAGGCCAGGCACCAAGATTGCAAGAGCAGGACGGGCAGCTGGCAACTAGAAAGGGGTTAGAAGAAAACTGGAATTGAAAATAAAGGGGGAATGAGGATGAGGGAATAAACGAATAAAAGGATGGAGAAGAAAAGAAGGAAGAGATAAAGAGAACAAAGAAAGGAAGAGAGGAGAAACAGGCAGAGAAAACAACAGGGCTGGACCTCTAATTTATAAGCGTGCATTTTCTTCCTAATTCTGTGTCCCAAGGAGGGCGTGAAGTTATCTGGGTAAACACACACAGGGAACGCCAGGGTGTGGCAGAAGGCAGTATAAACACAGCTCGGCGACACCACTGGGTCTGAGCAGGACTGAGCTGAGAAGTATCTTTTACATTTATGTGCTATTAATACTTTTAAGAACATTCACAGGGTAGTTTCAATCTATAGAGTGAGTGGTTTACAGATAAAATTAATTTCCTGATCTTAGACTCCCAATCTTTTAAGCTTCTGAGGAGCTCCTGATCGTTATAAATAAGGTGGAGCCCACAATAGGGGATCTGTCCCCGAGCATCACCACACGGCCTGTCTACTCTCTCTCAGGGAAGGTTCCACTGTTCCTAGTCAGCTCACTTAGACTGCAGTCTTGGGAAGGAGACCTCAGAACACCAGGCTGCCACTGCTTAGTGAAGACAGGGCATTAAAACATTTCCCCATCAAAACTACACCAAATCAAACCAAACAAAAACAAGTCTGATTTGGAAGAGTAATAATATAATACCTACTTGGCAAAAATGTATGGTTGGCTATAGAACAAAAAGAATGATCTGAATCTAAACTATTGCCTCTTAATCCTTTAATTAGACTAAGTCCTTCAGAAGGAAGCACAATTCATTGTTACTGAAGGAAATCAAGAGCAAATATAGACTGACATACCTACACACATGTGTGCACATACACAACTTGACGTGTTCATACGAATATGAATGAATACTCACAGTGAAGGGCTCAGAGTCTACAAAGAAATTTATTTGTTCATGAGAGTCATGATTTGAAACATTAAAAAGTCCTTGGAAAATGGTTTGGGGAAAATGTGGTGAGAGGGCGAGACCCAGCAATCCGCGGGCATGTTAAAAGATGTGCACACACTCTTTTGGGTGAACTCTGCTCTGACTCCAGGCCAAGGCAGCCTGGCAGTGCCCTGACACCTGAGTGGTTAGAAGGCCCTGGCTCAAAAGAATTTACTTGGAATCTTTCTTCTTTTTCTTCTTCTTTTTCACTGGTGTTTCATCTACAGTAGCATCCATTGCTGCCTCAACCTGCTTTTGTAGCTTTTTCTTTTCTCTCTTTTTTTTGGGCTTTGGTGGTAAGTCCTGGTCACCAAATGGCCACATACAGTCTTCTCCATCCTCAGCAGAAGCATCAGAATTCTCGTCCCCCTGAGGGTCTCTGAGCTGCTGCTCAGCCTCGTCTCTCTTTTTCTTGGTCTTGGGTTGGGTGTAATTCTCCACATTTTTATTTTTTGCCTCTTTCTTTCTTTTCTTTCCCTTTTTCCTTTCCATTTGGGTCTCTGGAAGGTCAGGCCCTGCAGCAACAACCTGTGACTTGTTCTTTAGCTCTGCCATCCGCTTGGCAAAGTACTCCTGGATGGTGAAGGTGCTGGTTGTCGTAGTAGAGTTTTCATTCCCATCTGGAGTGGCGGGACTGGAATCATCCTAAGGTGTGGGAAAAGATTAAAACTGGTTAAACACCAGCTGTGTACTTGTCAGGGCATCCAGGAGGACTCCAGCTGGAGCTATTGGCCCTCAGCAGTTAGAGACCAGGCCGAGTACCAGGTATTCCTCGATCCCCCTTGTATCCCACCCGGATAGAGATGAACTGCAAAGCATAGAACAAAGTGGAAGACACTTTGGTTGAATACTATAGGGGGTGACAGGTTGAATAGATTGAAGATACCTTCAGAAAGTTAGCTGGAAAGTCACCTAAATGAAATTCGGAATAAACAGTACCTTAGCAACAATGTTATACATGGCGACCCCAGTCTGCCATGAAAAAGAGGGACACCGAAGTCCTCGAACTTTGTGATCTTGTCAGATTCTAGGTCTGTTATGGATTACTCAGGCCTTTGCACTGATGTGGAAACTTAGATGCCACATTCATATGTTAACCCTTCCTATCACAGGAGCCAAGTGCCAACCTGGAACCTGGCGTGCTGGGAACACCTTCTTTCTCCTCCAAAGACAAAGTGTGGGCCCCTGGCACCTGTTCCAGGAGAACAGGCACCAGGGCTGGAAATGCATGCGTTCACCTTCCTCCCAGAAAGAACAGGTTAGCATGGCAGCCCTTATCCCCTCGGCTGAGGATGAGGAGAAGGAAGATGCCTCCATCACTACTCTGACATGAACCAAATACTCAGGTCTGTGTTAGTCTTGTTTCTAAATATGAGGAAGTACTCACAACAGCTGAGATTATGTAAGGTTTACATTTTAACTTCAAATAAATACGTTCCACTGTAAGGCTGGAGAAGAGAGAGAAAATTCATGCCTTAGTAGGTTGGGATAAAAAAAAAGGAAATGCTGGTGTCACTATATGGGTTGCACCTGGTTGGCAGTAATGTGATGAAAACATAGGTGTGGAAAGGGAGTCCCTTTATGATGAAGAATATAAGGACTATGCCTTTTTAAATATTTTTACTGATTTTTAGAGAGAGAGCAAGGGAGAGGAACATTGATGTAAAGATGTAAGAGCAGAACATCAACTGGCTGACTCCAACATGCCCCGCACCGGGGATCAAGCCTGCAATATGGGCATGTGCCCTGACCAGGAATCCAATCAGAAAGAGATGACACTCAACCAACTGACCTACACCGGCCAGGGCAGGACTATGCTTTAAGGAAAGTCAATTTTTAGAATAACTTTGCCCACAGAGACTTTTAAAATAATCAAGCCATTTAACAATAATGCTAAATTTAAGTTTTCATAATTACCCGGCTTCTTCCTTCATATTCACTTATTCACATAGGAGGAGACTGGTTAGTCGACCCTCTCATGTTGAGAGGGTGGGAAAAGAGTTTTCTGAATGACTGTTTCCAAATTAGGACTGTATAAGTTAGTCCGAACTTGGCGGGAAGAAACTCCAACTTTATTACAAACCAGCATGTATAAATGGACCATGCATTTTCTTGATAGAGCAGAACTTAAATGTGGGCTCAGGGGAATCAAAGTAGCATCACATTTGAAATTCTGGCAGAATCAATATCATATAAATGGACAACTGGATTTTGAGTGGCCAATGCCCTAGAGATCTCTCACCAAAGGTACCTTACAAACAACATCACACCTCATCTAATCAACACAAACCTTATTTTACCCAGGCCGAAAAAAAAAAAAGTCTGTGGTCAAAGTTTAAAATTTCAAAATGTAAAATGCAGAACGTGTGGAATAACCAACTGGGCTTTGGAAAGAAGTTTAAATGTTACCTATCTGCATTTAATTTTGGCTGGAATCCCACCAAGTAATTTTGAGAAAAATTTAAAAATAGCTGTCCCAGGAGACGAAAACAAGGTCACTTAGTCTTTCTGTTCTTCAAATGTGGAAAGAGAGCTGAAATGCTGTGCGGCAGAATGGAAAATCTCAGGGCTCTCTTGGTGCGAGGCAATCCCAGTTTGATGGACAAGAAAGGTCTTGCCTTCCCTGTAAGGGCACACAGCCACACACAGTCTCTGTGAAGGTGGCCTGTTTATGTAAAATAGGTCTCATCTAGTTTCATGGCATTAAAAGGAGTTTGTCAACTCTTCTGGAGTGTATCTGTGTCTCAGGAACTCAAATTCAAGTGATAGTCTATGGCTCCCTACCTTGCTCACCTATTAGTCCTGCTTTTCAGTTAAATCATGGGAACCAATTGCTGGTATTAATCACACTTTTCATTATTAGGAAATATAAAACAATTTTTGAGTCACCTGTTGAATTCAGAGGGACTATCTAATCCCAGGAAATAACCATGCTCATAATAACTCCTCCAGTGGCAAGGACTGTAACAACCATGCACCACTGCGCACCGGGCTTAGCAGGGCATGGAGACAAGCAAGAGAGGTGCCAGCACCCAAATCCTATTTATCCCGAGGAAAGTGTAGGCAGAACAATGACTTGCTGGGGAGAGCCCTTTAATGCCAGGGGCAGCCGCCCTCCCACACTGCTGCAATGTATGTTTTAAAAACCATAGAAACAAAGGAGGAATAGGATGTACTAGTAAATCTGATTCCAGTAGGAGCGATGCCCAGGACTCATATTTTACAAGCTCATAATTTATGATTTTATAAATCATAAACAGTTTTACTACTGAGATTATAATCCCCGTGTCTATATTCTTGGCCATGAATATGAAAAATGTACACCTTTCCAAGAAAAGGAATACTTTTCATATCTACTCTCAACTTCAAAGTGAACAGGCACTGAGAAAATCACCAGTTACTTAGCATTTTGAAACAGAGTCAACTTGCATCTTCCCAGTTTCCATTCAACACATAACACAACCTCAAAAAAATCTGTAATACCAATATGACTTTCACTACTTTGTAAACTGTGAGAATGTTCCAATTTGCTAACAGTATTCTAAAAACGAGTAAAATAAATTTACAAATACCTTGAAAACTTTCAGTTCCATACAAAATACTATCAAGGGACGCGTAGTTAATGCATTAATCATCTTACAGTTATCTAATCCAGTCAAATCAGTAGGTTAAGTTAGGTAACTCCCAAGATCTCTTGAAGGCCTACAACGTACTCCTCTGTGAAAAAACATTTGGGTTGGCCATTGCTCTATGATCAGGAGAGAGAGAAGGGACAGTGAGGCAAGAAAAGCAGGCAGCAGGGATGAGTTTGGTTCATAGACACCTATTACCCCAACTGTCCAGTCAGGATGCAGAAGTGATAGCAATGAACTAGAGTCTAGCCACATGGAAAGGATATTTTCCATCACCTGAACGAAAGCATACAGCCAAGAGCAGATCCAGTAATACCACTTAGAGAGCTGGATTACTGAGTCAGTTTTAAGAATTTGTTTATACAGATGCTAAAATCAATAAAATGGGAACCAATTGCTGGTATTAATCACACTTTTCATTAGGAAATAAAAAAAAAAACTGGAGTGATTATTAACTGGAATACAAATTTATTTTAAACTTAAGTCCCGGAAATCATCCCAACACTTCTAAGACAGGTGGTAAAAAGCTGAAACTTTTAAAAAATGATAATCAATCCCCACTTTGTACTTCTGATTTGAAGATTCTCTTTTTATATACCTTGGCTTAAAAATCTCCACTGAGCCTTCACAGCCCCTAAACTTGTGCTCTCAAAAGGCAGCACGTGGGGAACATGCTAATGGTGCTCTCTGGCTGGAACGGAAAATGTGGCGGGCTAAGGGAATGCATAACCTGGCAATGTCTCCCCTGCCTTTTACGCTTCCACAGTCTGAGCTTCTTCAAGTCCTGCTCCAATGCCAACAGTTTCCCTTGCTGTCTAGTATGGCACAGGCAGGCTGTGACTTGGGTACAATGAAGGATAAAGGTGGGCGAGTCTGCACGAACAGGAGCGAAGGCTCTGCCTGTGGAAGCCACCAGTCCTTTTGCTGGCCAGGGTGTCCTGCCCCTCAGCTGGGCAGGAACATGTCACATGTAACATGCATGTCCAGGACCAAGCAGTATACCTGAGATGAAGAAGCTTTTCAAAGAGCCTGGTGAGGAAATGAGCAAAATAGTTTTTTAAATATCCCCCTAGATTTGTAATATCCACTATTCTATGTTCCCTATCATTAATTATTAAAAAAGACCCAAACGCACAGTTAGACCCCTGAAGTATTTTCCACATATTATAGAAGCGACTATTTGTGAAATACAAATAGAACCAGTTTCTGTGTTATTCTAAAAAATGGTTTCACAGATTAATCTTGTCTGTTCTCAGTAAATGTCACAGTGTTCTCATTTCTTTCAGAGCTGGTGAGTGTAACAATTATGTGTTAAAAAAAATACTGACCATGGATTTCCCCAATTACAGTGAGGGCCTTAATTTTCCCCAATCAGTAAATATTCTGTGGGTTAGAGCTTAGGAGGACCTGTTCCCACATCAGGACTCTCAGGTTTAAAGTCACAGGAGCCCTGCAAGATCGCTCCACTCATCACATAAGAAACTACCCTCTGTGGCCACACCTTGGTGTGCTGAGAAAGCAGCTGTCATCTCTTAGACGCCTTTAACATGCCAGTCACTTATCATCATATGTCATCTTATGCGACGCTCATAGCAGCGATCTGAGAGGCATCCTCTCCATTTCTCAGAGGTAGAAACAGACTCGCCCTTCTCCTTCCATTACAGCACTCTAACTTCCAGCCTGCATCACACAGACTCACTTGTCCCTGTTTCCCTATATAACTGGTCATATAATCAAGGGACCAAGGTCCACACTCAACTCTATAAGGGCACAAGTTAACTGATGCAAAAGCTTCATGTAAAAAAATGTCCCCAGAAACAGACACTACTATCTAAACAGAAAACCGCTATTAGCTAGTTTGTAATCCATATAAATAAAATATAGCTTAAAGCCAGGTATAAGAGTTTGTACTTTGTCAAATTAGCATGTGGATGTACCTGACAAAGTGTGAGTGCTTTAAAGCAGGAAGTAAAACCGAAGTCCACCCTTCCACCTAAGGCAGGACTCTCTGCT